CAAACACCATATGTTCGAACTCGAATCGAACATATTATCGACCAAACATTGAACTGTTCGAGAACAGTTTGTTATTGAGTTGAATCGAGCTGTTATCGAACAGCTCGGTTCGTTTGCAACCCTAGTTCCAGACACATTTTCAGGCTCTTGGTAAAGCAGTGAATTCTCCAACAATCCCGAATTTACTGCCTCATGTTTTTGGTTGTACCAAATTTGTTCACCTCCATAAACACCAACGCAACAAGTTGTCCCCTCGTCATTGAAATGTGTTTTCGTTGGGTATGATATTCATCAAAGGGGTATCAATGTTATCATCCTCCAACTCAACAAACATTTGTGACAATGGATGTTGTTTTTCATGAAGAATTGATGTATTTTTCTTCCGAGTCTAAACTTCAGGAGGAGTATTGTCAAGAAGAAATTCAGACTCTTGATTATGTTGTTCAAAATATGGAAGATCATGGCTCAAAAAATAGGCATGTTGATCAACAAGAAGATGAAGTGGATGATGAAAATATGGAAGTAATTCCAAATCCATCCGAAGAATCTTCATCTCAGTCCGAGTCCCTTATATATGATATGCCACAACCAATGCTTATGCCACAACCATCTCTTGTTGAGTATGTTCCTGATTTGGAGCCTGAACCAATTGAGTGCGAACCAATTAGGAAACAATTACCATTACGTAGTACTAGAGGGATTCTTAAACCAACATACGAACCTGAACTATCTAGTAAGGTTGAATAACCCATGAGTCATTACGTGTCTAACCCATCATCTGTCAAAATCAAATATGTCATTTGTAAATCAATTATTTGCTATATCTATTCCTAACAGTGTGCAGGAAGCCTTATCTGATCCAAAATGGAAGGCTACTATGAATGAAGAGATGAGATAGTTACAAAAGAATGAAATCTGGGAACTTGTTGATCATCCACTGGGAAAGAAGACCGTTGGATTTCAATAGGTCTACACTGTGAAGTATAAAGCTGATGGTACAATTGAGAGATTCAAAGCCAGACTAATAGCAAAAGGGTAAACCCAAACCCATGGAATAGACTATACAGAGACATTTGCACCTGTGGCTAAAATCAACACAATACGTGTCTTATTATCTTTAGTTGCAAACGTTGATTGGCCATTACAATAATTCAATGTAAAGAAAGTTTTCCTATATGGAGCATTGTCAGAAGAGATCTATATGGATCCTCCACCAAGGTGTATTTCAACAGAGAAGCACAACCAAAAGGTATGTAAGTTAAAGAAATCTCTATATAGGTTGAAGCAATCTCCAAGGGCATGGTTTGGGAGGTTCACAAAAGCTATGACGTCTTTTAGCTACCATCAGAGCAATTTAGATTACACACTGTTCTTAAAAAATATCAACGAAAGATCACTGCACTTATTGTATATGTGAATAATATGGTGGTTACAGAAAATGATCCAGAAAAAATGAAGGCTCTGCAAAAGTACTTATCAAAAGAATTTGAAATGAAAGATCTAGGTTCTTTGAAATATTTTCTTGGAATCGAAGTGTCTCGATCTAACAAGGTATATTTCTATCACAAAAAAAGTATGTCTTGGATTTACTATAGGAAATTGGTATGTCAGCATGTCAAGTAGCAGATACATCAATCGAAGAAGGTTTGAAATTGGGAGTCAAGACTGATCAAGTATTAGTTGACAAAGGGAGATACCAAAGACTTGTAGGAAGATTGATGTATTTATCACACACTAGGCCAGATCTTGCTTATGCATTGAGTATAGTTAGTTAGTTCATGCATAGTCCTGGAGAACAACATACGAACGTAGTTATGCGTATCTTGAGATATCTAAAACATACTCCTAGAAAGGGAATCCTAGTTACTAAAAATAAGGGCATGTGAATGTATATGATGCTGATTGGGCTAGAGCAGTGGATGACAGGCAATCTATTTCTGGTTATTTCACTTTTGTAGGTGGTAATCTAGTCCTGTGGAGAAGCAAAAAACAAAATGTTGTGACATGCTCAAGCGTTGAAGCAGAATTTCAGGGAATGACACTTGGGATTTGTGAAGCTTTGTGGCTAAGATTTCTTCTACAAGATTTGGGCTGTCAGCCTAATCAACCAATTCAGTTATATTGTGACAATAAAGCAGGGACTGATATTGCTCACAGTCCAGTCATAAGAAACATGTTAAAGTAGATAAATTTTTTATGAAAGAAAAATTGGATGAAAAGATTATTAAATTGCCCAAGATTCAATTAGAGGATCAATTGACCAACATTCTTACAAAGGTTGTCTCTAAACGTATATTCTCACAAGTTTTAGACATGCTGGGCATATGTGACATCTACGCACCAACTTGAGGGCGAGTGTTGAGATTTCTTGAATATTTCTTAAATATTTCGTAATCTTATTATTTTGTCAGTTTTAGGATATTCATAATGTTCTTGATATCCTGTAATCTCTTAATTATGTCTGTATATTATAATTGACACAATTAGGAGATTCTGTAAATTGTATCTTGCCTACATAAGGCCTAAAACTCTATAGTGAAAATCAATGAATTGAAACATCCAATTCTTCAAATAAACAAAAAGAAATTAACTCATAGGGGGCAAGAGCTCCCACAAAGCTTCAGTGGCTGCATCCATGACAATTGTACTCTCTATAATTCAATCGCATAAAGTAATCTTTGAATACAGTTATATATGTATTTTAGTTCTTAGACCAAATATTTAGAGATATTTATATTATTAATAACAAATATTTTTATTTGTATTTTTTTATTGTTTATGTCTTACCTAGAATAAAATAAATATTTTGGAGTGCCTCGTATTGAGAGACGTTTTAAATCATTTTTATCGTATAATATGGATAATAAAAAATGAAAAAGAAGAAGAGAAATAATTTGTATTCAAATATAGAAAACTATTTGAATATTTTGCTCCTATTAATTATATGTTCATAAGTCTAATATTCAATAATTCAAATGGTGTAATAGTATTTAATATTTATTTGGAGCTTCCATTACATTAAAACGATATTATGATCTATATACAGTCTTCTTTAACCATATTAACATATTATTTATTAAACCATCTCAAATTTTGCATCTTCCTCCTTATAATATCCAAGTTTAAAATTCAAATTCACAATTAACACAATCTGGAATTTATACAATTGAGATTCGTAGATATACAGAGAAGCAAAGATGAATCATAAAAGATATAGAATCAACAGAAAAGAGAAAAAAACAAATGAAACAAGCATACCACGAGGCACCACGTGTATGACTTCTCACTCACATCATTAATAAAGAAGAGCACCCTTTTTTTTCTCTTTTATCAATGTCGCCAGTTTTGAGACGCGTGCTAGTTTTGTATGTGATGAGATGTCATCTTTGTACCTCCGGACAACTTCCCTCCTCGGTCCCGACCATTTACTGTAACTGTTAGAGTCCCATACCAATTAGACATGCTTAAGTCTACTAGTTTATAAGAGGAGATAATCCTTCTATTCAATAAGACCTTATTGGGTGAGGAGTCATGCCTACCAAGGCTGTCTCAAGAACATTTGTGACCTTAGGCAAGAGTTACTTTGGGGCCTTCTAATAATATAAGCATATATTAAAAAATTTATTTCAAAATTATTTTTTTGCCTTTTGAGATGCAAAATCACTAGGAGAAGTGGACGACGATCGGCAGGCTAACGAGGTCAGATTGGTGGGGGGTTTTGGAGAGCAGATGTTGGAGAAACGATAGGTGGTGAAATAGGTAATTTCCAATGCCCGGATTGGCCAGAAAAGACTTGAGAAGTCGCAACCCAAAAGGTATCGGTAGCCAGTGATTGACGGAGTAAACAGATGAGGTATGATAGGGATTTTGGTGAGAAGGTTGGGGGGAGGAAGATGGTGATGTCGGGGAAGGCCAACAACGCCGGGTACATGCTGAAAAGGCTGAAAATGATTGTCGTGCGTGGTGGAGTTGGGTTATGAGATTTGTAAAAAATCGGCCAAATCGAGGGCTATCAAGGTTGGAAAAACACTTGGAAAATGATAAAGTAATGATTCCGGTAAATTTTGGTGAGAATATTGATCGAAATCAACTCCAAACGGCTGGCGGCGAAGAGGGGTGGAGATGATTTATGTGAATGTCGAATTTTGGGATGGAATTGGGATAGAGTAATTTGAGACATGTAAATGACTATTTTAGCCTTTTATTGTTAAAAGAAAATCAATGTGTTAATTTAGGGGTGTGAATTAGAATATATAAAACTAGAGGTACAAACTTGTTATTTCATCAAACTTTGGGTGAGAATATATGTAAAAAGTTTATAATAAATTTGGGTCTTTTTGGTTTTTTTTTTTTTTTTTTTTTTTTTTTTTTTTTTTGCCCTTGGCCTGGATAAAAAATCATACATCATTTTCATTTTTAATATTAAAAAAACTATAAAAAATTTGGGCCCCTATTTTTGGGGGGCCCTAGACAGGTGTCTCACTGCCTATCCCTTGAGCCGGGCCCGATGCCTACCTCAAATTCTATCATAGTATCAAAGCCCAGGTTCAGTTGAGCTGAATGTTTGACCAGCGGATGAGGAGTTAGAGTTACAACTACGTCCAATAACAGACATGACCCAACATATGGGCTTGACGTAAGGGGGGTGTTGGAGTCCCACACCGACTAGGCACGCTTAAGCCTACTGGTTTAAAGGGAGTAATCCTCCAATTCAACAAGACCTTACTGGTAAGGAGTCAAGCCCATCTCAAATTCTATCAATGACTGTTATGTGTCCCAAAATTTGACCGAAACATCGCTACAATTTTTTTTTTTTTTTCATAATATCACAACAAGAGAAGAGGGAATGAGATATTGATGCCTTGGAGGCAACTCGGAGATTCAACCCAAGGCATCAATTCTCTCATCAATAGTCTTCTAATAAAAGATATACGGAGAACAGAGATTTGATGAGAGAGGGCTGACCAAAAATATTAGAAGAATGCTATTATGGAGCAGAAATGAAGGAGCAATCTGTGGAACTTATTGTGCGAGAAAATGAAAGTGATACATGGAGTAATTTAAGGAGTTTGTTAATGATAACGGCTCTATGCATATATTGCTCATGTTTATCTTCTTTCCCTTTCTTTTTCTCCTTATGTGTAGTAGTATTTGATTCTTTCTTTTCTTGAATTCAAGTCTCTGTATATAAATTCTATTGTACATGGTACATAAGAAATAAGGTTGTGAATTAATCTTTCCCTTTTTTGTTGAGTTTTATTATGGTATCAAAGCACATGCTCTAATTATATTCTTTTTTTCATCAATGGCTCAACCCCAAATAATCCTCGAACCAAGAGGTTCAAACCCGAAATAACCCTTCAAACCAAGATGTTCAACCCACAAATGATTCATCAAACGAAAATGTAGTTGTGACTTCCCTTGAGGCCTTTTTCAAATCCATATACTTTGTACCATTCAGATAATCCAACTGTTGTTCATGTATCTCCACCTCTTAATGGAGATAATAACTACAATACCTGGTACAAATCAATGCGAATGGCCTGGAGAGTAAAGAACAAATTGGGAATTGTAGATGGAACATTCAAAACTCCAAATCCCACATCTCAAACTTACAAGCAGTGGGTTCAAGCCAATGACATGGTTATGTCGTGGTTAATTCACTTAATGGTTCCGGAGCTTGCTCAAAGTATCATTTATGCTGATACAGCTCAAGCAATTTGGGAAGACTTGCGAGATCGCTTTTCGCAACCAAATAGCTCAAAGATGTATGACATAAAAAAGGGAATTTCATATTGTTTACAAAGAGATCCCCCTGCCACTATTTATTACACTCGGTTGAAAAGCTTATGGGATGACTCGGCGTCATATATAACAATTCCAAGTTGTTTGTGTGAGACAGCAAATGCAGTGAATGAGTTACTTCAACAAGACCATGCGGTGCAATTCCTACAAGGACTCAATGATGGGTATGCTGCTTTTCGTAGTCAAATATTGTTGAGAGAACCTCTCCCACCAAATGTTGGAAAAGTAACCCGGTTAGTGTTTTTGACGGGCCGGGCCTAACCTAGCCCGCCACTTGTTAAGGTTGGCTGGCCCAGCTCAGCCCTCCAACCCTAACCCGGCGGGTTATGCTGCTGGCTAGACCGAGTAACCTGGCGGGTTATGCTGCTGGCTAGACCGAGTTAGTCCCCCCCTTTTTAATTTAATTTTTTCTTTTGTTTTGTGTAATTGTTTTTAGTTAACTTTTCAAATATCAATAATTCAATTAAATTAATTTTTTTTTTTTTTAATATTTCAAATATTAATTCAATTTTAATACAATAAAATTGTAATATAAGAAAAGTTAGATTTATTCATTTATCAAAAAATAAAATAAGAAATTACAACAATTATTACTTCATTAAAAACCTCACAAAAAAAAAACCTAATGGGACAAAAACTTGGTAAAGAACAAAGAGTGCAATAATTGACAATTAATTTACAAGTTACAACAAAACAACTAATTTGGGGGTTGACTAGGACCTCCCTCATCCGTATCATCTATATTACAAAATTGAAATGATTCTATTAAAGTTTCGTTTACAACTTCGTATTGATCTTGATGTCGTGACTTTTCCCAATCTCGAAGACATGTGAGGACTTCAATCATTTTTTGTGAAAGTTTAGTCCTCCTTTCATTTAAAATTCTTCCTCTTGCACTAAATGTTTGTTCGGATGAGACAGGAACAACGAAAAACATCCAAGACAAGTCTTGATAATACCGAAAAAATACATTTTCTGGTTTTCCAATATTCTAAGACATTAAAGTTGGCTCTTTGTTGTGGATTTGCTAGTAACATTTCGGGGGTTCCCAAATATTGTTGAAGCTCGTTGCTTTGTGACTACATGAAGGACAATATATTCATCGTTGGTGCTTCTGAAGAGGAGGTTGTGCTTTAGGTTCGGCTCCTCTTCAGCCTATTAAATGCACTCCAAGAGTAGAAGTCTTCATTTGTTTCTTCTGATGCAACTTCCCTGGGTATTTCGCATCTTTGCGAGTTCCCATACCTGATTTCATATTGGAAATATACCTCTGCAAGACAATCTCTTAGCTCTCCTAGTTGATTGACATATGCTTCGTTTTGTAAATTTTCAGTTAATGTGTCTAAACCATTTTCTAAACCTGCTACTTTAATTCTAGGATCAAATATAGCACCTAAACAATAAAGAAAATGAATGGGTTTCCAATGTTTAAAAAAAAAAAAAAAAATCCATTGCCTTTATTGGTTCCCTTAAAATTTCATTATTTTTGTTTTTTTTAAATAACTCAGAAATTTTTATAATTATATGTATTACCAATGGACTGGTAGGATAATACACACAGTGGATTGGTAAAAAATTTTAAGAAAAGAATGAAATATTTTAGCTATATGCCAATCATTTTCTACCATGAGGACCTCTATTATTTGCTACAAAATAACTAATTAAATTTGCATAAGGTAAACATGAATCAAACATTAAATAAGTACTATTCCATCTAACAAGCATGTCTAATGCAAAAGTTCTAGGAGCTATTTTTGATTTTATACAAGCATCTTGAAATTCATCATTTCTTTTATTACTACTAATAATCCAAGCTAAAAAATCTCTAATTCTATTAATATTATCTCTAATTGTTTTCATACCATTTTTCACAATTAAATTAATAATGTGACATGCACAACATTGGTGAAAAAACTTCAAATTGTTATAAAAAAGGATAATTAATTTTAAAAAAATATATTGTTGTACTATTAGCACTTGCATTATCTAAAGTTAAACTTATCACTTTATTAACAACATCATAATTTTCTAAAACTTCAACAATTTTATTATAAATTTGTTGACCACTATGATCCACATCCATTAATCTAAATCCTAATAAAGATTTATTTAATTTACATTCGTTATCAAAATAATGACTAGTCACACAAATATAATCTTGTTTAGCTGTACCACTCCAAATATAGGCAATTAGAGCGACACTAACATGACAATTATGTATTTTATTTTTTAATTCTAATTTCATTTTCCCAAACAATTTTATTAAATCATTTCTAGTTGCAGTTTTAGAATAACTTTTAAATCCTGGAAAAAATGAATTTTTAATAAATCTTTCAAAATATTTATCTTCAGCCATATTAATAGGTTGATCAGTTCAGAATATATAAAAATAATTGTTCCCTATATACATCAGAATTATAACGTCAAGTAGTATCCATATTAGTTATTTGAGTTTGATGGGTTTATCTATTTCCATATTGAGCAATATGTTTATTAGCAGCATTTTTAAAGTATTAGTACCATTACTGAATCAACTTTATAAATTTTTCATAATACTTGCATCTTGCTTTCTTCACTTGAACTCCATTTTTTGTCTCGTAAAATTATTGAAATGCACCCAAACGTCTGATGTATGTCTGTCGTCAGTTTCGACAGCAGTTGATGAACCGTCAGCTTGAGATGAAGTTGGACGAGGACGACGATTAACAATCGGGAGCTGTAGCAGCATGGGGAGGAATCGGGGAAATATTATGAGATGTATCAGATTCTGAGACTGGAAAGCGGGACATTTGAATCTACTGCATTTATGTTAGTAAATTCGGGGGACCGGATAGTAGTTTCCTTCATCAGGAATTGACAGGATGGAAATATGTATCCATTGTAGTTAAAAAAAAAAAATTTGATATTGAAGAAATAAAAATTAAAGAAGGACAATTGGAATATGGAAATATGAATTGAAAATTGCAAAAACTAATAAAAATTAAATGAGAGCAAATTGACAACAAGAGAATAATTGAGAGATTTCAAAGAGATAGAGAAAATGAGAGAATGAGATTGAGAAATATGAGAGTTTAGGGCAATTTATAGAAAAAAAAGGAAAAGAAAATGACGAAAAAGACCCCTCCAATAGCTATAAAACGACTATATTTCAAGGGTAAAAGGGAATTAAAAAAAACAAATTAATTTTGTTTTTTTTTTGGGCCAACCCAGCAGGTTGGCAGGTTCTTTAAAAAAAAAAAAAAAACAGCAACCCGTTGGGTTGCCATATATAAACCCGACCCGCTCGGGGGTTGCATTCGGGTCGGGTTGCCTAGATGCAGGCCGGGTTAGGGTTGACCCGCCTAACCCCGCCCATTTGTTCCACCTATGAATAAAATTTACTCATTGTCAATACAAGAAAAGAGACAATGACTTATCTCCATATCATCATCTACTTCAAATGAAGGGTCATCATTTGTGGGATCACAACCCAATAGCCAAAACATAAACAAAGGTTCAAATGCTCCAGCTCATAACAAATCTGGAAACTGGCAAACATCAAACCAAGGAAACGAATCGAAAAGTCATTCAAAGGGACATTGTAATCATTGTGGGAAGGAAGGCCACACCATTGCCAAATACTACAAAATACATGGATATCCACCACGCAATAATAATCAATCTCAGTGTCATGGTTTTGTTGTGTCATCTGAGGAACAATCCACTTCCATTTCAGCAGCACCTAACTCAGACACTAAAGAACCTTTGATTTCATCTACCTTGACTTTAACACAAGAGCAGTATGATCAAAAAGTTGCCATGCTACAACGAGGTAGAATTGATCCCGTGTCTAATTTTGCAGGTATTGCTCTCAATAATTCATGTTGTGCCTAAAAAATCACACTGATGTCAGCTCTATCTAAAAGACAAAGTATACTAGCTGTCAAGCCCATACCGCCTCAAAAATATTTTATACCAACCCTATCTCATTTTAAGATAAGGATGAATGAGAGCTTTCCATGTGTCAAGGCAATTTGCAAAAGCACTCATTACATTGACCTCAAAGGTGTATAAATGGGCACCTCTCTTTGTAAAATGAGAGGCTGAGCATATGAGAGTTAGGCACATCAGAGCTTATTTTTCTCTGTAAACAAAGTATTTCTCCATCTTTGTATGTCTTACAGGCAATATCATGGAAATAATCAGAGAATAATAAAATATCAATGGACGTAGGATTTGCTGAGGGCATCCAAACCACTTTAAAAATCATCTTCCATTTTATTTATTTTCATTTTCATTCACGTGTAATTTCTAAGCCAACTTAGCACTTTGCACATGCGAATCGTTGATGTCAAAATAAAGCATCAACAATTCTCATAATGATGCTTGGATTATTGATAGTGGAGCCACAAATCATATGTGTTACACCCTTCAAATCCTTCAAACCTTGTCCCCCAACACCTCTCTTTCAAGTGTTCCATTGGCAGATGGCTCTACCACACAAATAACAAAGATTGGTTCCACCTCCATTAATTCTTCTCTTCATCTTGATAATATATTTCTCATTCCAGCTTTTAAGTTTAATTTGATGTCAATATCACAAATTACAAAAACACTTAACTGCTTAATAACCTTTTTTTCCCAATTATTGCATTTTTCAAAACCTCACCACGAAGAAAACGATTGGAGTGGGTAAATGTTGGAATGTTCTTTATCAAGTGCATCATCCAGCTGCAAAATTTTACGCCAATCTGAAAACCTCCTTTGACATTTGGCATTGGCGTTTAGAACACCCCTCAGCTAATCGAACAAGTTCTATTTCTGCTTTAGATCCTCAAATTTCTTTCTCTAATAAAAGTTTTTTGTGATGTATGTCCTTGGGGAAACACACAAGAAACTCATTTCCTTCAAGTACAATAAAAACGACCTCACCTCTTCAATTGCACCACTGTGATATTTGGGGAGGTTTCTCAATTCCAAGCAATTCTAGCTCATATTATTTTTTTACTATTGTGGATGACTTTAGTCGTTGCACTTGGGTCTTCTTGATGAAACACAAGTCTAAAACTTAGTCTGTGTTAAAATATTTTTTTTCCTTTGTCTCTACTCAATATAACATCAAGGTAAAAAATATACAAACTGATAATGACATTGTCATAAAAAGTGATGATTTGCAACATGCTTTTCCCATAAAAGGTATTCGCATTGATAATGGGACTGAGTTCCTCTCGAAAGATTTGCAAGATTTTTTTAAGTCTCATGGAGTCATCCACCAACTTAGTTGTGTTTCCACTCCACAACAAAATAGGGTCATGGAGCATAAACATCGTCATTTACTTGATGTAGCTCTCAACCTACGATTCCAAAGTCATCTCCCTTTAAATTTTTGGGGAGAGTGTGTTCTCAATGCTACCTATTTAATTAACAAAATTCCCTAACCTGTTTTAAATAACAAAACCCCTTATGAAATGCTTCTTGGGCATTCCCCTTCTTATTTTCATATTAGAGTTTTCAGATGTCTTTGCTTTGCACATAATCTTTCTCCTCAAAGAGATGCCCGTTCCAAGCATGACATTTTTGTTAGGTATCCTTTTGGACATAAAGGATACAAAATTTATGATCTTGAAACAAGAACCATCTATAACTCCAGGGATGTTTTATTTCATGAACTTGTTTTTTCATATTTTGATTCTTATACTCTACCATATGATCATCTGGTGTTGCCTTTGCCTATTTTCGATGATAGAGATACAACTCTCACATCTGAATCATCTTTTAATGTTATTAGCACAGAATCTCCTAAAGCAGAACGTTAGCCTGCTTTAACTCGATCGACGTGCACCACTCCATTTGAATGACTACATATGCAACACCACCATTTTAGTAACTTGCCCACAGCTAATGTCTTCTCATGGTTCAGGTACGCTTCATCCTTTGTCTAATTTCATTTCTTATAACTGTTTGTCCACTAACCATTAAGTTTTTCTTACTACCTTTGACTCTAAAGTGGAACCCACAAACTTTTCCCAAGCAGTTAAAATTTCAGAATGGCAAGAAGCAATGATCAGAGAAATAGATTGTTGAAGATGGTGATAATTTGCTGGAAATGCAGAATTATTCAGTTAAAGCTTCAAACTGTTTTTGGCGCCAAGTGTTCAAGTTGCTGTTACGGGTGCAGTGGTTGAAGCTATTGTTTTGATGAATTAGTGTAAGGTTTTTGTGACATGTTTAGTTGAGATTAAAACATGTTTTGTTGTAAGTTTATTTCAAAATTCAAATGTATAAAATTTATCCATTGCATTAGGTTGTTTTAGGTAAAAGAGTGGATTGGTCTTGTACATATACTATCCATATTCTATGAATGAAAATAGAGCACTCATTTCCAGTTGCAGTCGTCTCTTTCCTTTACAAAATCTCTCTTCTTCATCACTCTCCAGTAGAACCATCTGAACCAACAATTGGTATCAGAGTCGTAATTGATCCTAAGGGCTTGATACATTCATCTCTTCCTATTCAACTCCTCAACCTCTGTTACGGGGAAACCTTTGTCAACTCCAAACAACTTGATTCAATGGCACAATACACAACTTTTCTTATTCCTCCAATCTTCAATGGTGAGTAATACCACATGTGGGCTGTCAAAATGAAGACCTTCCTAAGGGGACAAGGTTTGTGGTAGTATGTTAAAGAGAACAAGCAACCACCTGCATTGGGGCCAAACCCCACGTTTAATCAAATCAGGCTTCATGAGGAGGAAGCTACTAAAGCTCCTAGAGCTTTGTCTCATATCCATGCAGCTGTAACTAAACTTGTTTTTACAAGAATCATGGTGTATGAGATAGCCAAGGAAGCATGGGACAAGCTCAAGGAGGAGTTTGGTGGTAGTGATACAACAAGGAATATGCATGTATTGAACTTAAGGAAGGAGTTTGAGATGCTGAAGATGCAAGAATCAGAATCAGAATTAGTAAAGGAGTATGTGGATAGGTTAATGAATGTGGTGAATAAAATCAAATTGTTCGGTAAGGAAATGACAGACAAGAGAATTGTGGAGAAGGTATTGGTGAGTCTACCTAAGAGGTTTGAGTCCGAGATTTCTTCACTTGAGGACTCTAAAGATTTGTCATATATCACACTCACTGAATTGGTGCATGCCCTACAAGCTCAAGAGCAAAGGAGGTCACTGAGACAAGAGGATCCAAGTGAGGGTGCAATGGTGGTAGGCTTTAAAGGCAAAGCTGGTCAGGGAGGAAATATGAGGTTTGCTGCAGATAAGAAAGGGAAGGAGAAAACAAGTAATCAGTGGAACAAATCAGGTGGAATGATGGAGTTTCCACCGTGTTCTCACTGCAAGAAGAAGGGCCACTCTGAGAAGAAGTGCTGCTTCAGACCAAACCTTCAATGTAGAGCATGTAATCAATTTGGCCACATTGAAAAAGTATGCAAAAACAAGCCAAACCAGCCACCACAGCAAGCCCAAATTGTTGAAGATTAGCAGCCAAATTCAGAATCTGAGTAATTGTTTGTGCATCTTGCTGTGCAACTCAGGTTTGCAATGATGCATGGCTGATAAACAATGGCTGCACTAACCAAATGATAGCAAACGTGCGAGATTTTGTCAACCTGGACAGGGCATACCACTCCAAAGTTAAAGTTGGAAATTGAGAGTTTGTGGGTGTCAAAAGGAGAAGAGATGTTGCTGTGCAGACAAGGTCAGGTATTAAACTGATTCCTAATGTCTTGTATGTACCAGACATAAGTTACAATTTACTTAGTGTAGGACAAATGCTAGAAAAGAATTATGTCCTGCATTTCTAAGACCAATGTGAAGGCAATAAACTAATAAAGGTTAAAATGATGGGAAAATGCTTCCCTATTAGGCTAAAAAAACCAGAATCTAAAGTCTATACTGCTGAAGTAAATGAGTCTGAGTTGTGGCATAAGTGATTTGGCTATTTCAACTACCATGGTCTTAGAGAAATTCAGACCAAAAATCTTGTCCAAAACCTGCCAGAAATCGAAAAATCTAAGGCTATGTGTGCTACTTGTCAACTTGGCAAGATGAGTAGACAACCCTTTCCCATGAACCAAGCTTGGAGAGCTGCTGAGAAACTCGAACTTATCCACACAGATGTGTGTGGACCTATGAAGACACCTTCACTGAATGGGAGCAAGTATTTTGTCTTGTTCATTGATGATTGGTCCAGGATGTGTTGGGTCTATTTTTTCAAACAAAAGAATGAAGTTGCAGCTGTGTTTGGGAGATTCAAGCTGCAAGTTGAAAACCAAACTGGTTTTAGTATCAAAACAGTGAGAAATGATAATAGGAGTGAGTACACTTCAAATGAGTTTGAATCAATTTGCAAGTAGGCGGGAATTAAACATCAATTTAGCAATCCCTATACTCCACAACAAAATGGAGTCAGTGAGAGAAAAAATAGGACTGTTATGGAGATGGCTAGGTGTGTGGTTGCTGAGAAGAAGTTGCCCAAGTCCTTTTGGGCAGAGGCAATGAACACAGGGTTTATTTGCTCAATAAATTTCCCACTAAAGCTTTAGTTAATCAAACTCCCTATGAGGCTTGGTATGGGGTGAAGCCTACGGTGGAAAATCTGAGAATTTTTGGAAGTATATGTTATGCACTTATCCTAGTAGTTAGGAGAAGCAAGTTAGATGACAAAGCCATGATAGGAATCTTCATTGGCTATAGTGGGCAATCCAAGGCTTACAGAGTCTATGTTCCAGAAACTAAGAAAATTCACATCACTAGAGATGTGAAAGTAGATGAAAATGGTGTATGGAACTAGAAGAAAAATGAGATTGAAGAAGATTTACGGGGGTAGTTGACAGATCCAGCAGTGAGCCGAAATGATGAACAAAAAGAGATAGATTCAGTTGATGACATTCCAGTTAGAGGTACCAGACCTCTGGTAGAGGTTTATGAAAGGTGTAATGCAGCCTTACTTGAACCTGCAAATTACAATGAAACTGCTAAATCAAATACTTGGAGGAATGCAATAGAAGAGGAGTTAAACATGATTGAGAAGAATGGAACCTGGGAATTGGTAGACAGACTAGCAACCAGAAAGGTACTCCAAGTTAAATGGATTTACAAAAGAAAATTAAAACCAAATGGATCAGTTTATAGCATAAAGCAAGGTTGGTTGTCAAGGGATTTGCTCAGCAATTTGGAGTAGACTTCTCGGATACATTTGCACCCGTGGCCAGGCATGATACAATTAGGCTTCTCTTTGCTTTGGCAGCCCAATTTGAATGGAGGATTTATCAGTTAGATGTCAAGTCTGCATTCCTGAATGGTTGGCTCAATGAAGAAATTTATGTGGAGCAGTCGGAGGGATATGAAGTAGAAGGGCATGAGAACAAAGTTTATCTGTTGAGGAAGGCATTATATGGCCTAAAACAGGCCCCTAGAGCCTCGTATAGTAGAATCAATGATCATTTGATTAGTTTGGGATACATGAGGAGCCCAAATGAGTACACATTGTATGTGAGAGAGTTGGAAGGGGAGTTTATTATTGTATCACTATATGTAGACGATTTACTCATCACAGGAAACAGTCCAATTCAACTAGAAGAGTTTAAGAAGGCAATGCACAATGAGTTCGAAATGACTGATCTAGGGGAAATGTCTTATTTCCTTGGAATGGAGATTAGCCAAACTCAACATGGGATATTTGTTAGCTAAAGAAAATATGCTAATGAAATCCTACACAAGTTCAACATGGATAGGTGCAGACCAGTGGACACTCCACTGGTTGTAAACTTGAAGCTAAGCAAAGATGATGGGGCTGTGAAGATTGATGAGGGAATTTATAGAAGTTTGATTGGCTGTCTATTGTACTTGACAGCCACCAGGCCTGACTTAATGTTTACTACAAGCCTCCTCTCCAGGTTCATGAGAAACCCAAGTGAAGTTCATCTCAAGGTAGCCAAGAGGGTGTTGAGGTACATTAAAGGAAGTTTTGATCTTGGTGTATGGTTTAAGAAGTCTGAAAACTTTCAGCTTGTTAGGTACTCTGACAGTGATTGGGCTGGATGTATTGATGATATGAGAAGTACTTCCGGCTATGCCTTCTTCTTGAATTTAAGAGCTATATGTTGGCTATCCAAAAAACAAGACACCATAGCTCAGTCCACAACAGAAGCAGAATACATTTCTACTGCTGCTACCGTAAACCAAGCCATATGGCTTAGGAAAATTTTGGAGGATTTGAAGCAAACTTAGAAGAGTCCAACTGTGATCTTCTGTGACTACTAGTCAGCCGTGGCAATGGCAAAAAATCCTTTCTTACACAGCAAAACCAAGCACATCAAAATTAAGTTCCATGCTGTGAGAAAGGTAGAAAGTAATGGAGAGGTTAAATTGATCCGTTGCAGGGGTGAAGACCAGGTGGTAGACATCATGACCAAGGCTTTATCTAAAGCCAAGTTTGAGAATTTAAGACTCAAACATGATGTTTCCAGCAAGATTATCAAGGAGGAGTGTTGAAGATGGTCATAATTTGCTGGAAATGCAGAATTATTCAGTTAAAGCTTCAAACTGTTTTTGGCGCCAAGTGTTCAAGTTGTTGTTACGGGTGTAGTGTTTGAAGCTACTGTTTTGATGAATTAGTGTGATGTTTTTGTGACATGTTTAGTTGAGTTTAGTTGAGATTAAGACATGTTTTGTTGTAAGTTTATTTCAAAATTCAAATGTGTAAAATTTATCCACTGCATTAGGTTGTTTGGGTAAAACAGTGGACTGGTCTTGTACATATACTATCGATATTCTATGAATGAAAATAGAGCACTCATTTCCAGTTGCAACCGTCTCTTTCCTTTGCAAAATCTCTCTTCTTCATCACTCTCCAGTAGAACCATCTGAACCAACATAAATGCTCTTGAGAAGAATAATACTTGGACTATCACATCTTTACCATATGGTAAACAACCCATCGGCTGTAAATGGGTGTACGAGATCAAGTATCGCTCATATGGGACCATTGAAAGGTACAAAGCACGTTTGGTTGCTAAAAGATTCACACAAATGGAAGGGGTGGATTACAAGGAAATATTCGTTCCGGTAGCAAAGATGGTGGACGGTGGCCGTTCGTTGTTTTTTTGCCATAGCTGCTATCAAGGGGTGATCTTTACACCAAGTAGATGTCAATAATGCATTCCTCCATGGAGACCTCAATGAAGAGATTTATATGCAAGTGTCTCTAGGTTATTTTTGACAGGAGGAGAAAGAAAATTATGTATGTCGCCTTAACAAATCAATTTATAGACTTAAACAAGCAAGTCGTAATTAGTTTGACAAGCTAAGTCAATTTTTGATTTCTATGGGATATATTCAATCAAGGGTAGAACCCACACTTTTCTTCAAAAGGACATCACAAGGCTCTATTTTTGTTTTAATTTATGTTGATGATATCCTTGTGGCAAGTGACTACATAGTTGAGATTGAAGACTTGAAGAAAAGCTCAATGATAAGTTCAGCATAAAAGATCTTGGTGCACCAAAGTATTTCCTTGGCATTGAGGTAGCTCATTCATCACAAGGAATATTTCTTTGTCAACGAAAATATAGCCTTGATATTCTACATGATATGTTGTCGTCATTCCAAGACTCCCATGGAACAAAATGTTAAATTCACGGGTGAAGATGGTGAACTCTTGTCTGATCCATCGACTTATCATCGACTTATAGGTTGTTTAATTTATTTAACAATCACATGGCTTGATATTTTCTCTGTCATTAATGTTCTTAGTCAATTTATGCATTCACCACGAAAGCCGCACCTTGAAGCAGCCTTACGTGTTTATTTGAAAGCCAATCCTGGTAAAGGTGTTTTGATGAATTCTTCCAGCCAACTGAAACTAATTGCTTATGTAGATTCTGATTAGGTAGGTTGCCCTCTAACTCGTCACTCCACAAGTGGTTTTTGTATCTTTCTTGGGTCTAGTCCTATTTCATGGAAAGCAAAAGAGCAAAGTGTTGTTTCGAGATCCTCTGCTAAAGTAGAGTACCGCTTTATGGCTCAAGCTACATGTGAGTTACAATGGTTGGAGTTTTTATTGGCTGATTTTGGTCTTAATTCATCCACCCCAAGCATTTTATACTGTGACAATCAGACTGCTCTTCATATCGCAGTTAATCCTGTTTTTCATGAACGGACGAAACACATTGAGTTAGATTTCCACTTCATTCGTGAAAAGATTCAAAAAGGATTAATTAAAACAGAGCATATTTCCACCTTAAAGCAAGTTGCAGACATCTTTACAAAGCCTTTGGCAAGTGAGCAATTTGGTTGTCTTCTTGGCAAGTTGGATATGGTTGACATATATGCTCCAACTTGAGGGGAAGTATTATGGAGCAGAATTGAAGGATCAATCTGTGGAACTTATTGTGCAGACAAACTGAAAGTGATACATGGAGTAATTTAAGGAGTTTGTTAATGATAACGGCTCTATGCATATATTGCTCGTGTTTATCTTCTTTCCTTTTCTTTTTCTCCTTATGTGTAGCAATATTTGATTCTTTCTTTTCTTGAACTCAAGTCTTTTGTATATAAATTCTACTGTACATGGCACATAAGAAATAAGATTGTGAGTTAATCTTTCCCTTTTTTGTTGAGTTTTATCAAATGCTAATTGAAGAAACAGAGATGTGATGTAAGGCAGACCAAGATCAGAGGATCATAATGGAAGAAGGATTGTTTTGGGTAGAAGAAAATAAGAATTTTATACAACATGAACCCCAACTTCAAATATTAGTACATTTGATAGTGTATAAAATTTAAATTACTATTTGTTTTGTTATTTTAATTTTATTAATGGAAAAATGAAATTTTTTTTATAGATATTAATAAAAACGTAGTTGTGCATAAATTTGTAGATAAGAATTTATATAGAAAAATACTCTTGTAAAATTCAATTGAAAGAAGAATACATATACACAAGAAATTTAGAGACATGCAAAGGGAAGTTATTATTATTATTATTTTTCTCTATATGTTTTTAATAAAATCTAAATGGTTCTAGAATGATGTGAAAATGTAAAAATTACCATATAATAAGAATGTAAACTTAAAGTGTAATTTTAATTATTAATCGGCCAATGTAAATGCACAAAATTTAGCCATATATTATATTATGTATTTTAAAAAGTATGAATCGGGAAGCCTGGCAAAAAAGGAAAAAAAAAAAAAAATTGTCCTTACAGGGCAGAACCCCGTCAGGAATTGGGACATTATAAAATATTTCATCAATTGCATTTGCATATGTACAGATAAATTTGTATTTTCCCATTTATATTTTTCTATAATATCTTTGGGTAGGGTGAGGCCGAGATTGAATTTGTATAATGTGATGACTGATGAGTACATGTGTGCGTGTACTATCGCTCTGGCCAAGCTACGATTTCTTCTAGCATCTGCAATGTGAACAGTTACAATATAATTTTGGAGACTTTTACACAGACGATTCATCTACTTGTCTGCTTTTCAGGAAGATTGGGGCCACCAGCATCCACACTGCAAATAAAAATAAATAATTAATAATATTTTTTTCACTATGACAAGCGTATTCAAATTATAAATGGATGAATTTCATGTCAAATACTTACGATATACACAAACTGCCAGCCATTCATTAACTATCCTGACCCAAGTGCTTGTCCAACCCACATCAATTGTCCACCTGCACCTCAAGAGAAACTTAAAGCTGAGAAACAAGAAGCGTTTGAAATTATATGGGAAATCACTTTGAACTCGATCTAAAAGAAATACAGAATGATATGCTTCGGGGTTGTTTATGCATTAACTGATTATGTGAAATTCGTTTGAAGACGTACTTTTTAATGGTGTGATGTGTATTCCACCCAATCAGTAGCATTGCGAAGTACATGGCTCCAGTGGCGAAAACAAAATGAAAGAAACCATAACCGTATGGAACATCATCTTCTGCTGGTGGCTCATCCTTCCTGAACTGCAGCTGTTGTCAGACAATTTTGCGGATAATTTATGACGAGATTAAAAGATTATGTAGGTGGCGGCACATACCTGAAAGCATTTTGAATCGATGCCTGTAGAAAATGTTGCAATGACCATTGCAAGTAGTGCAACAACAAAGCTCTGTCAAACATATGAGATTTCTATTATTATACCAGGGCAAGAAATTGTTAATTTGTCAGCAACAAAAATATTTTGAAAATTTAAAAGTTTTTATCAGCATGATTACATGAGCTACCCTATTTTCAAGGTCAAATATGAACTATATTATAACACAAAAACTTCTCCTATCTTTTCTCTGAATTTGCTTTCAGATTATACATTAAAATTAAGGTTGATCCTTCTGCATTTTGCATGTTTATGTTACTCATGGAATGAGTTTGAAAGTTTGGTTTCTGGGCTTATATAATCGGTTTCATCCACAAAACTTGAAGTTTTTGTCTTGTAGTAAATTTTTACTGAGCAAATGTTGAGCACAATATTGATGGCCAAACCACTTGAGATCGTTGAAACTTTTAAAACGCATCCAGTAAGTAAAGCTAGTGTCTGTAAGTTTATAACTCATAAGAAAGTCATACTATGATAGTAAGCCAGTCCGTTCTGTTTGAAGCTTCTGCTTTCCTGTTGCAACTTTCCCCTGCAGGTTCACTGTATAAACAAAACTGGAATTAAATTTAATTCACTTGAAACACAAAAGGACAAAATGAAGCAATAGATAAATAGCACTCATTTATCCATTAAAAAGCAAGTTCCAACTCTTCATTCAAAAGAAAATCTGGTCAATAAAGTTAAAAGCAAACTGAAGATTCACCAATGAACATAATCCTCCTTTTGAATTAACTACTGCGTTCAAATACTGCTTTTTTTAAAGCGCTCTTTAAGTTGGTTAGCCAAGGGACTCGCCAGGAACTTTTATCTTTCACTGCTTTCGCTTTCTTTGTTCATCTTTTTTTTTTTTTTTTTTTTCTTCTCTTAATTAAATGTGAAATTATACACTGTTCCGTAGGATAGGTAGACCCACACCCATGGACACTTCCTTCCCTCTCCATCAGTAAATTCTTGATTTGTGATTAAGGGAAGATTTATGGCCAAATTAGATAGCACTTTGAAAGCTGATAACTATGGAGGACGCAGTTTAAAATGCATCAGTTAGTGAAATTTATCAAGGCATGGCAACCAAAGACTTTTACACCATACCTTCGAATGGCACACCAGCAGATAAATACCACATAAAGCCCCATAAGCCCTGGAGCCAAGAAACCAACATTTACCTGTTTCAAGCAAATATGTGCCATCTAATTTCAATTCATATTAGAACATGATAATCTGAATGAAATGAATGAATGAGCTAATTAGAACTTACTTTTGGGTGCAGAGAGACGCTGGTCATGAGTTGGAGGAGCACCAGTGTCCATGTAATGAAAAAAATGTTGAGGAGGCAAGAAGGGTCTGGTGTATACCAAATGTACATCATTATGATCCCCACTATGCATATAACATATGCGGTGGTTGCAGTTAGCATAACATGGATGTGGCTGCAGTTCAAAACCTTATTTTTGGTCAGTATTGATATCCAAGCAATAAATACTGGCACATAGGTCATTGAAATTTCTTTCCTTCAAATAAAACTACGGCTTCAATTATTTAAATAAATGTTTCCGCAGGTGAAGAATGAAATTGTATTAAGTTATTTCGTAGCCTTGAGTCACTGAGGGGGATCAATGGTTTGGCATTGGCAAAATGTTCCACTGTCCAAAAAGTGGTTTCAAATAATTCCAAAGAATCTTGAAAACCAGCCAGAAAACCAATTTGGTTACCCGTTTTTGGTCTGGGTGAAAATATGCACCACTCAAGACTAATATGTAGTATAACAAAGCTTATCAAATATTAAGAATGAATTAAATATCAATATTTACAATCTCAAGCAATTTAATCATTTCTAGAATAGGTGCTTAAATGTGGATGCCGCATTCTATGTTCCAGAATGAGGAGAAAGGTATTACCATCTTTCTGCATTTTTCTCAGACAGACAACAATCGTTTAGCCATGTAATGAAGCTGATTACGCTGATTAGCTGAATTAGGAGAAAGACCCTGAAAAGAATTTGGTAAAGGTCACTAAATAAAAGTCTCGTTACAGCTCAATGACTAAATTTAGGAAGAATCTTAAACTTCCTAAACAACCAACACTACTAAGATTGTACATGTTTTGTAGACAGGAAATTATAACAGGAATCAATGTACCCGGCACCAAAGTGCGCAACCTCCCCTGCCAAATATATGAAGACCACAATCATTAAATATATAAACTAAATGAATGAAAATCCAAAATTAATAAGACCCTTGATTCAATATAACAATTAGGGAGAATTTATAGAATGTAATCTAACGAACCATAAAGCTGAATAAAGGAAGAAGGCAATAGAAAGGGGATGACTGTCAAGGCAATCCACATGATAATCTTTGCAGACCACCATCCAGAATGCCACGAATCTCTGGACGCGTATAACTTTGAAGTACCAGCTGTTGATAGGAACATAATGAAAAAAAACATCTGTAGTAGTGTTAAGGCAAAATGCAATTTTTGAAAAGGACCAATGCTGAGATTCAGCTAAAGAATAAAAGTCTGCAAGTGTCAAGACATATCATGATATTCAGTTTGAGATGTACAGACCTTCATACAAGGCATTCAGTTTGAGTGAACACGAGAAAGCTTGTTAGCTATTTCAAAAAAAATTCTGTCGCCAAAACCTACATTTGCATTCTCCTGATAATAGTTTTTTTTCCCTTTTTTATTCATTTGAAATAATTTAATGGTAGATCCTCCATCTGTCTAACCAAGAAAAATGAAATGCTAATTATGGTGCAAAAGACTGAATTCCATGCTTCTGATATAAAGGATACAAAGCAACCCAAGCTCACTCGAAGAACACCTTCTGCGCCCAAACATTCATGCCCACCTTTGCAGTTCTTTAGTCCTGCATCACAGTTCATCACCAAATGTGAAATTTGCTTGACAGACCACTCGGTATAATCAGCAAAAGGAATCGTAAATATGGTGGTGGTAATTTTCTGCATATTGTAATACACACTACAAAAATAAAGCTTAATAAAAGCTTGCTTTCAGTTTCTAAGTCAATTCTTTAGAACAAATAAGTAACTACAGAAGAAAGAAAAATCCAATATAGTGCACTCGAGTTAAAGAAAACAATCAAATCTTACTTTCCATTTCCGTCAAGGCTCCGCTGCTATAATCCCGAACTACCCATGCTAGCAAGTTCGCTACCAGAAAAATCAACGCATAAACATATCTGGCCATCCAAGGATTGGAGCCGTTCCGAAATTGGCTAAACCACGAGTCATCCTTAAATGCTGCACGCCTCTCGTTGCCATATCTTGCACCAGTCTCCATTCCACCTTAGAACTACTCTTCATCACATAAGGCCATTAATCAAAAGAAGCAATGGATTTCATTTTGTTTAATTAGTTTTCACCTGCATTGCGGAAAACACACTCATATTTATCATAAAAGATCCGTATAAGATCGTGTACCGCTACCGTAACCCAAGCATCAAAACTGGAGACCGGAGTCATTCAATATAGAAGAATATAGACCAGCAAACAAGTGACCACAAATTCTGGACATAAAACTAGTTCCTAAAAGATAGTAATACGGTTCTCTTTCAAAGGTGTTTGTTTGCCAACATAAAATGGACTTGGACCATTTCGATTCCATTGCTGGTTCCGGCAAATTTCTTGTCGTGGTGGGCAATTTCAGGCACCTAAACTATGATCTTGCCCTTCGAGCTTGCAAAGCACAACAAATTTCTAAAGATTTGCTAAAAACATTGAACTACTGCTCACCCTAAAAGAAGCTTCAAGCTCTCAAGAGTCGCCCCGTTGACATACTAACTATGTATAATGTATCATCCAATGAACTGGTAAATGATTAATTAGTAAACCAAACAGTTTAGCTACATTAATGAAAGTTGTCCATTATTGAATGAAGCTCTCTGCCGAATTCAGCATCCTATGAAGATGATTAGACTCGGCTAGGCCTATGTGAGCACAAAAATTAAATGACATTAATGTTATATATCCTAATTATTTGTATATTTAAAATAAATAAAAATATATATATTAATTCTTATTGATCTACCGATGTTTGGTTAGATCTCGATCCGGAAGTTAATTACATGAATGGTGCTCGTGAAGCTAATGAAAATTCCTTCATTTGAGGATCACAACTCACAACTCAGACACACATGCACAAGCATCGATGAATGAACAGTTAAAAGAATCCAAAATTTTCTAAAAATCATTAACCACCTCGAGATGCGTGTAGGCACTAGAAGAGTAAAGGGAATCTTTCCTTGGCTTGCAAGTCGTCTAAACGCAACTTTAATGAAAGAACAATTTCATAGACGATTATACCCTCCTCACTCTCCTGAGACTTCACATCAAGTAGGGAAACTGATTTTATTATATTGGGGTAAATTTGGTTATTGACTAATTATTCTGCTATTTTGTCAAGTTTGCTCTGTAGAGAATACTGAACATGTCAATATCAATATCTGGAAGAAGCCAGAGAAGCTGTTAAGCAGTTAAGCTATCATAGGGATTTATAATTTTATAAAATAAAATAAAAATCTCGCAATTAACGGGATAGAAATAGACACAATAAGTCAATAAGAAAACAGATCATGTTCATATTTCAGAAGAATAAAAATTCAAAAGTTACCGTTACCTTTCTGTTTTGTGCTTGCTTGTTCACCGAGAAAATGAAACGGTGGTTCAAAGATTAAAAAAAATGGTGAAGTTTATGTTGTACAGTTCTTTCAATAGCAAGGAGAAGAAAAACACAAGTAGATAGATTACATTCACTTCATTAAATTTTACTACAATAAAAAAAAATGAATAAATCATTCTCACATTGTAATATAGCCATACCTCTAGCTCATAGCAAAAAGACTTGATCTAAGCTCAAAAAAAAGATTAAAAAACGACAATATGTGGAGAATTAAACGGTATTTGGAAATGTGAGAAGAAAATAGTACCTGAAAGCGAGTTGGTGTTGATGAAGGAGGAGATCTATGACGGAGGAGGATGCGTATTGAGGAAGCTGATCCTCAAGGTTTCTCTCACTCAATGTCTCCGGGGAGAGAACACAGAGAGAGAGAGAGATTGATTTGTGTTTATGTTTTTGTTTTCGTTTTTAATTTTGGGGTTTGCTTTTAAAATAGTCGAGATAGATATTAGAGAGATTGCTTTGAAGCTTTTTGTTTGCTTTTTCTGTTTTCCCGCCGTAAGCTTCATGTTTCCGCTACATACCGTATCTTTCAAGATAGAACCGCATATTATTTCACTATTTAGAATAACATCTAATGCCCCGTCTACTCTCTTCTTTTAATTATTCTTTTCTTTTTTCAATTAACTAGTTATCATTGTAATTAATTAACATTTACACATGTCAACGTCGTAATTAAATATTATACAAATTATAGTATAATGTACTTTAAAAACTTAAAATGAGAGCGTTGATATATTATATATTGCTTAATTGGATTAATTGCAATGGTTGTTAGAAAGTTGAGTGAGGATTCACTCAAGGGTAAAACTATTGATGCATGCTAAAGATAATTATGTCTGGCGTTTTGTGTAATACTAATGATTTTCTTTAATTTGTTCCCAAGTGTAATAATTTCCAAACTGAGCCTTCCATCTGAAGCATGCTGTCATTATTTTTATTTTTTTATTTTTTTTGTAATCGGGAGTCCACAAACTTAAAAAATCAGATAAGTCATAATGTGATAATCCAAAGTTTATTGAATAATCTATAAACTAAAATGATCAAATAAATCATAATACGATAATAAATGATCTCAAAGTTTGAATCCAAAATTTGTATGGGTAAGGCATTCCTGGCCAAACCAAGCATGCTGTCGTAGCTTGACTTAAATTCCATAAATCTTTGTTAGATTGGCTTTACCTATCCAACCACGAAATCCATGATGGAGTCCAAGTAAACGTTACCTCTTTTTTCAGAATATTTTATTGGATTTTAGTTTGTCATACAGTTTGTTTTCCCCATTTGCAAAAGTAACGTCAACATCTTGCTGTTGGAGTTATTAATGCATAACTGCTAGAAATACAGATTCGTACTCTTACGTAAAATATACATTTCTTTTGAAATAAATAAACAGAAATGTGTTACAAAATTATATGACATGCACTGACATAAACCCATGATAACATGTTAGGCACGTCTGAATAGCAATAATAGGCTGCAAAAGAAATGGTACAACCACTATATATTTAACTCAAAACCAACCAACATGAGCACCGACTCGGCGCTCTTCCCCCTATCCAGCGCCATTAATGCGACATTCTACTTTTAGACTGGCAATGGACTTATGTCTAATGATGAGTTGGGTAGTCTTTTTGTAAAGCAAAAGAAGGAGCTACACTATAGTTTTATGTTATCAATGATTCTTATAATGCATGCAGGATGTTTGTAGAATTATTAAAATCAAGATTCATCATTCACACCGCATACAGATACAGATCAAAGGGAAGAACATTCCCTTTCTGCTTTTTAAGTTAAGCGGAGGTTATTTATAAGCTAAAAAGAACAAAAAGACAAAACTAACCAGAATCTATTTAGTGTATAATTTTTGACCATGTTCATCAAACTAACTTCCTTTCTTTTCTTTGTATTGTAAGTCTGGGACTCTGGGCTAGCTACGTGTACGTAAGAATGTCGTCAAAAGTTAGCATCTTTTTACCAGAAATTGAATCACGTGTCGCCACGTGTTTTCTTGTTGTGGATTGTGGCCAAATTTTATGATGGGGAAAAAGTTTCTGATGTTACTCCATTAGCGTCAATCATGGAACCGTTGTGAACCTTTAATCAAAGCTATTTAACACTTTATCGTGAAAGCCATTAGCCATACCCATTATTTATTATTATTATTATTTGTTCTTACTTGTTTTGTTTACCACCTGAAATCATCAAGAGGGTAGTAAAAGGTTAAAGGTAGCCGAAAAAAAAAACAAAGCCCCTGTCTTTTCTTTTCTCAACAAATTGGAGCGTCTCCGTCGCCGTCTGCGCAGCAAAGCCTGAAATGTCAAAAAGCAAGAGTTAGATCGAATAAGGGCCTAACCGAATTTGGGTCGATTGAAATTAGTGATACTAAACGCACTCATGAGTGGGCTCCTTTTGAGAAGACCTAAGTTATAGGTCCAACTGTGAGTGCAGACCAAACATCACTAGGCTTAGCTCACCGAAAAGCCCGGATAGAGAGGGAAAAAGGGCAGGAATCTTCATCCATTCTTCCAGTTTGAGAGTTTATCCCACGGTTCACCTTCGCGTTTTATGATCAACATTGCAGCCCTGGTTCCCTTAATGAAATTACAAATTTACAACCTTCACTTCTATTCCTTCGATTTACTTGCTCCTTTTAAACCTTTTGGACTACACATCGCTTTGGTAATATGGTTAGAATTTACATGTTGGACTAGATAGTACAAGCAAGTAGACTATAATTTTTGTTTAGACTGCTTTAATCTCTTTTTTTTTTTTGGATAATTGGGGGGTGTCCGAGGTAGTTTACACGCAACTCAACTAATTATTTGAAACCTTGGAACTATCGTCGAATAAGAAATCCAGTAGTTACCCCTATTAGTGTTGAATTTCAATACAAATAAGCAACAAAACAGCAGAAGAACAGCAGCAAGACAGCAACGAGACAGCAGCAAAACAGTAATGATATAGCAGTGAAACATTAATGAACATAGCAGAAAAACAGCAACGATACAGCAGCATCAAGGTGTGCAAAAGCATTGTCCTTAAGATTAGAATTCCGCCCCCATTGAAGAATCTTCGTGGTGCAAAAAGACTCAACAGTAGACTGACCTTCAGGATACAATGACGAACCTCCTTTAGAGTGCACACTCTAATAGAGATTTAGAACAGTAATAAAGAAGTAACTGAGCAATGATGATATGATATCAACAATGAGAACTAAAAGGTGTTTTGACACAAAATGAAAATGTGAGCAAAAAACAATTGGAGTCTCTCACACAAATGAAAAGGAATCAGTCCTTTTATACACAAAAAATATTTGGATGTTACTCTCCCAAGAATTAATATAGTAACAACCAAATTACCCTAATTTATTAATATTATAACAGTTGAAACTGTCAATCTCATAATAGCCACCCATGAAACTACCACTTACCTATTCAAGCTCAAAAAACTGTCATTATACTAATTGCATAACAACCATTTTTAAATTAAAAATTGAAACTGTTATTACTTTAATTGCATAACAGTCCAAAAAAAAATTAACACTTGGTATTTTGAAATACCATAATGGCCGCAACTATTATCACAATCCCCCACATATTTCAAAATAACCAATCACCACTGATTATAGAATTTAATGTTTATGAGTTGGTGTCTTTCGGACTATGAACCAATCATTAAGTAACGAAACGTGAATTACAGAAATTTGGTGAAACTAAGTTTCTATGAACCAAAAATTTCTTTATGTAATTCAAAGGATTAGTTTCTCATACTAAATTCTCTATATTGTATACTGTTCTACGGTTTAGCACTTTATGGCCCTATGCTAGCCTGAATTTCATGAATGCTTTAGAGATGCCTACCTAAGCTCTCATAGGAATCGATCCAATTCCACACTCACATAGGTAAACCTCCATAAGGTGTGAATTGCAGTTTTTCACACCATTAATTATGTTGGCTATGGATTTCATTAAGAATAATTTTACTCAACCTTATTCACTGCAATCAGTATTATCTCGCCAAAGGAGGATTTTCTATAGATAAAAATTCGACAATACTTAACAAGACAACAAGTAACTTGTTATTACCCTTATGAACCTACTTCATGGGATCTCCAATCACATAAGTAGGGTTACCACAGTCCACCACTCTTGCCTTATGCTTTAGGCATAAGTCTCATCCCCCTCGATGTGTATTCCACTAACCTTCTACTTAGTGGTTTAGTCAGAGGATCAGCCAAATTTAACTCTGACTTCACAAAGTCTGGGCTCACTACCCCAGATTCTAGCATCTGTTTTATAATGGTATGTCTTATCCGGATATGTCTGCTTTTCCCATTATAAATTTTGCTCTTTGCTCTCGCAATTGCAGCCTGACAATCACAATGGATTGATACTAAAACTAGAGGGTGAGTTTCACTGGGAAGATTTGCTAAGAGATTCCTTAACCACTCAGCCTCAGAACATGCCTTTTCTAAGGCGATAAGCTCAGACTCCTGGTAGACAGAGCTATGCAAGTTTGTTTGGAAGACTTCCATGACACAACAGCTCCACCAAGTGTAAAGATATAACCACTTGTGGATTTTATTTCATCTAAATCTGATATCCAATTGGCATCGGAATATCCTTCTAATACAGGTGGTGTACTTCCAAATGTTAGCCCATAATCAATGGTGCCCTTCAAATATCTAGCAACTTTGTCTAATGCTATCCAGGGACTCTTATTAGGATTATGAGTATACCTACTCAATCTAGTGACAACATAAGCAATATTAGGCCTTGTACTATTCATTAAGTACATAAGGCTACCAATGATCTGGGCATATCTATTTTGACTCACACTATGTTGCGTATTTTTCTTAAGTTAAGTATTTCCATCATAAGGAGTTGAGACGAGTTTACTGTCTAAATACCTAAATTTTCTTAAGAAATTTTCAACATAGTGTTGTTGTGATAACTTAAGACCATCATTTATCTTAATGATTTTAATCCCAAGAATAACATTTGCCTCTCCCATATCCTTCATATCAAAATTTGAGGCAAGGAACACTTTAGTCTTAATTATTACATCCATATTAGCACTAAATATTAACATGTCATCATCATAGAGACATATTATCACATAAGTATTGTCTTCAAATGATTTAGAATATACACATTTATCTTAATAATTAATTGTATAACCATTTGAGACTAACACTTAGTCAAACTTCTCATGCCATTGTTTTGGTGCCTGTTTAAGTCTATAAAGAGACTTTACCAGTTTGCACACTTTATGCTCATTAGTTGGGATAACACAACCCTCTGGTCGTTTCATATAAGTTTCTTGATCTAGGTCTCCATTAAGAAAAGTTGTCTTTACATCCTTTGATGTATATGTAAATTTAAATTGTAGCTAAAGCAATTAACACTCTAATTGATGCTATTCTTGTTACAAGA